AAATAAAAATTTCAAGATTCAATTTTATTATATTTCAAATTAATCAAAATTGCAATGGACGAAAAAAAAAAAAAAGAAGAATAAAACATAGAGAAATACCGTGTGGGAAGATTTTGAAGATTTGGTTTTTGCTACCAAAGGTCACCCTTTATTCCTTCCTTTTTCATACCCAAAACTAAAATTGACTTCCCCATTTCACATATATAATTCATTCTAGGCTTCTCCTTAATTGTGAAGAAATCTCACCGCAACGACACGGATACGCACCACCGCCCGCCAGACCAATAACTGGAAAAAAGAAAGAAAAGAGAACTCTAGAACACACCAGAAAGTAAGACATTATTGTAGTCGGTACAGAAGTATCTGGAATTTGCCTTGGAATCCCTATATAAATCCTATCTATACCCACTTCTGCCATCTCAATTTTCTGCAATCTGCTGTGCAAAAAAGATCTTAACGTGTCTCCTTCATAGATTATTCTTAGTTGGTATTTTTTCCGAATCGAAGAAACACTCATCAATGGCCGGAAAGGGAGAGGGTCCAGCAATCGGAATCGATCTGGGAACCACCTACTCCTGCGTTGGGGTATGGCAACATGACAGGGTGGAGATCATAGCCAACGACCAAGGAAACAGAACCACACCCTCCTATGTGGCTTTCACTGACACTGAGCGTTTGATTGGTGACGCCGCCAAGAACCAGGTCGCCATGAATCCTATCAACACCGTCTTCGGTAAGAACTCAACCCCTCTTCAATGAATAAATTTTGGCCTAGACATAGATAATGGGTTTTCTTGGCGAAGAATTATGGAACTTGGGTATGCGTTAGAATTTTTTGGGTCGATTTAAAGGAAGTTCAAAGTTGTTTGGTTTTAAAATGAAATTTACAAAATAATCACTGCCTGTTAAATTTACTGAAATAAATTCTGCATGTTGCATGCTGATTAGTTGGATCTGGTTTCTGAAGTTTCTTAATTGTATGTGTTTGCAGATGCTAAGCGTTTGATTGGAAGGAGGTACAGTGACCCTTCTGTCCAGAACGACATCAAGCTCTGGCCATTCAAGGTCATTGCTGGTCCTGGTGACAAACCCATGATTGTTGTCAATTACAAGGGTGAGGAGAAGCAGTTTTCTGCTGAGGAAATTTCATCCATGGTGCTTACAAAGATGCGTGAGATTGCTGAGGCCTACCTTGGTTCCACTGTGAAGAATGCAGTTGTCACTGTGCCTGCCTACTTCAATGACTCCCAGCGTCAGGCCACTAAAGATGCTGGAGTCATTGCAGGCCTCAATGTTATGAGAATTATCAATGAGCCCACTGCTGCAGCCATTGCTTATGGTCTTGATAAGAAGGCAACCAGTGCTGGAGAGAAGAATGTTTTGATTTTTGATCTGGGTGGTGGCACGTTTGATGTTTCCCTTCTTACCATTGAAGAGGGTATATTTGAAGTGAAGGCTACTGCCGGTGACACTCACCTTGGTGGTGAAGATTTTGATAACAGAATGGTGAGCCACTTTGTTCAAGAGTTCAAGAGGAAGCATAAGAAGGATATTAGTGGGAACCCAAGAGCTCTGAGGAGGTTGAGGACTGCATGTGAAAGGGCCAAGAGGACTCTTTCATCAACTGCTCAGACTACCATTGAGATTGATTCTCTATATGAGGGTATTGATTTCTATTCAACAGTCACTCGTGCAAGGTTTGAAGAACTTAACATGGACCTGTTCAGGAAGTGTATGGAGCCAGTTGAGAAGTGTTTGAGGGATGCTAAGATGGACAAAAGTAGTGTCCACGATGTTGTTCTTGTTGGTGGTTCTACTAGAATCCCGAAGGTGCAGCAGCTGTTGCAAGACTTCTTTAATGGGAAGGAGCTTTGCAAGAGCATTAATCCAGATGAGGCTGTTGCTTACGGTGCTGCTGTTCAAGCTGCTATCTTGAGTGGTGAGGGTAATGAGAAGGTGCAAGATCTATTGCTCCTGGATGTCACTCCTCTATCTCTTGGGTTGGAAACAGCTGGTGGTGTCATGACCGTGTTGATTCCAAGGAACACCACCATTCCTACAAAGAAAGAGCAGGTCTTTTCAACCTACTCAGACAACCAACCTGGTGTCTTAATCCAGGTCTATGAGGGTGAGAGAGCGAGAACAAAGGACAACAATATGTTGGGCAAGTTCGAGCTTACAGGAATTCCGCCAGCACCTAGGGGGGTTCCTCAAATCAATGTCTGTTTTGACATTGATGCAAATGGTATATTGAATGTCTCTGCTGAGGACAAGACCACTGGTCAGAAGAACAAGATCACAATCACAAACGACAAGGGCAGGCTGTCCAAGGAGGAAATTGAGGAGATGGTTCAGGAAGCAGAGAAGTACAAGGCAGAGGATGAAGAACACAAGAAGAAAGTTGAGGCCAGGAACGCTCTGGAGAATTATGCCTACAACATGAGGAACACCGTGAGAGATGAGAAGATAAGCTCCAAACTTGACCCGGCTGATAAGAAGAAGATTGAGGATGCTATTGATCAGGCTATTCAGTGGTTGGACGGGAACCAGCTAGCTGAGGCAGATGAATTTGAGGACAAAATGAAAGAGCTTGAGGGCATTTGTAATCCCATCATAGCCAAGATCTACCAGGGAGGAGCTGGTCCTAACATGGGTGGTGGCATGGATGAAGATGCTCATCCAGCAGGTGGCAGCGGTGCTGGCCCCAAGATTGAAGAAGTTGATTAAACTTGTTTTTTTGGGGAAGATTTGTTCTTAACTTTTAAATGTATTTTGTGCCCAACCCAACTTTCTTGTTATATATGCAGTTTCGAATGATATAAAACTAACCGTTTTTCTTCTGTTGCACTTGTTCCGTGACTCATTTCTTGAAATCATTTCTAGTAGCTAGCAATATATGAATGTCGTACCTGTTGCTTTCATATTCCAACAAAAACAGAAACAGAATTCATAAATATGCTGGTCCTCGAGCAAAGTACGAAATAGTCTATATATATATATATATATATATATATATGGTACGTAGAACTAGTCTATATAGTTATCATTTTCCATTACAGACAAACGGTCTGATGTTCGAAGCAAATGCCACCATAAAATTTTCAATTTTCCAGTTCAAAATTAAGCTGAACTCAAGAGTGAATTTTAATACTTTATGCTACAAGGAAAAACAGAATAGGATGAACTATTAACTGAATAACAATTATATTGTCAACAAAGATAAGACGAATCAATGATCCACATGCCATCACCTACTGGTCTAAAAGATCAACTGAAATTGATGGCAGTATAAACTTGAAAAACAAAGAATTGAGGTTTTAATTGCACAGGTTTCCTTTATGAAACGATGTTAGTAAACAATGAGGGCACCTACCACTCCATCCATTCTTAAATTTCTCAGACTAATTGTTCCTCCAGGTCCACGAAAGATCGTTCACTCCATGGAGAGGGCCGAAGGCATACTTGAACCTCGTGTTCTTCAGGTCCTGCACGATGTTTGGGTACAATAATCTCGAGCATTGTTCCAGTCTCATCACGGTATGCCTCCAACTTAGCATCTTCTGGAATGCGGCTGGGGAGGGGAATCTCTCTAACAAATTCCCCTGGAGGGCAGTGCTCTGGTGTTGGATCTGTTAGCTTGAATGTCCTATCATGTCTCTTAATAAATGGCATGCAGGCTGTACTCACACAAGATATCTTTACAATTCCATGTGAGGGAGTATTTCTCCACGTAACTTTCACTCTTTGAAGATCTGAAAGCGGCAAGCTGACAATGATCAGAAAGCCTTCGTCATCTTCATATATTGTTTTTGCTGCTGTAACTGGCCCGTAAACATTCTTCATTACCCCACTAAACTCGTTCAACCATGCTGGTTCAACTGGGTGAATCCTCATATCCAGACTTCTGTTAGAATGGCCATTATTAGGAGAACAAGTATCATACTCACTTCCACGTTGAAAATATTCCTTCTTCCGTTTGTTGCAGACAGGTGATACATCCATCCCATCGCCATTGCAATGTTCTGTTGGTGGGGCTGAAAAGTTCAAACTAGCACCATTAAGCAATTTTCTAGCATGGGAGTTTACATTACCCTTAAGTGCAGGAAGAGGCCGCTCAAGCTCAAATTCCGTGTTTGGAAGATTCCTCCATGCTGCAAAATCACTTGCTTCAAGAGGGATTGAGAAATTTATATCCCGCCCAGTGAGCTCCATCCACCTCCTCTTCTCTTCCTCATCAAGATTTGTGAGGTTTGGTGACCTAACAACCTCGATTCCATGTAGACACTGGGGGTTAGAGAGGCCCCTGTAGTGCTTCCTCTGCATCCTGTGAGATCTCACAAAACCCTTATCCACACTGAAAGGAAAGGGGCGCTCCCCTTGGCGAGAATGACCATTCATGTAACTCCTTAATTGCATCTTACCCAGTGCATTTTCAGGCCTTTCCTTGAAAACCCACATGTACATATTCTCCATATCATGCTGAACCAAGAAAGCATCAAGCTGCAAGTCTGATTTGTCATACCCAGAAACACCATTACTGTCCCTAATTATCTTACATTTTGACTTCTCATTCAAAACAGGCTTGAAGTAGAAAGTAAAGAAGAACCAAGCACCCCATACACTGTCAAGCCGCTTGATGCATTTCTTTGCAGTTTTTGGGACATTAACAACTGCCTCAGTTTCATAAATCTGAGGCCCAAGGCCAACATCTAAGATGTCACATGGATCGTTCCATGTCAAAGGAGGTGGGCTAGGCTCAGACGACAGTGGAAGATTTATATCAGGTGGCCGAGAAAGCAGCATTGATCGGTTCATCTCTTTCTCCAATTCATCTTGAGGAAAAGAGCCTGAATCAATTGACAGAAGTGTAGACGGATAGTTCTCTATTGACAAGGTTGTAAGGAGAGCCTCCCCCATTTTCCTTCCTTAACTTACGATCTTTACCGCTTATAGGCGATAATTGTAAACCCACCACAACAGTCACAAGGTGAAATTTGTTAACATCTTTCAGAATCAGAACCAATGAATATTGCAGCTTGATCAATTCAATCAATCAATCAATCAATCAATCAACAAAACCACAGAAGCAACTAATAAATATCTTCATCCTGCACAGAATTCACAGAGATTCATCAATTGATCCGCTGCAATATTTTAAAAAAAAAAATTCAGCATCATAAGACCAATATCAAACAGGAAATCTTCAACAATTCAAAATAATAAATTCACTAAAGTAATAGCTATCGATCAATAAAGCCATACACGAAGCAAATTCCCACATCACAAAACTAAAAATACAACCATCCCTCTCTATGTTTTCTACAGAACCAATAAGATTCAAATATCCTGTTACCGATTGAAAATTGAGTTTCAAACCATCGAAAATAAGTAAACTCACCTAACCTAGCACCTCCATATTGCCTCCCATCGAGAGTTTTTTTTAAATATATATAATTTGAGATCTGGGAAAGAAAACCCAAGCCATGAAATTTTCAATTTCTTTTCGTTTTCCCACACTTTCCCAGCAAGCAAACAGTTTCAAAACAGGAAAGCAACCCACGATTCCACCAGAACAAGAATCCAATAAAATCCATGGAATATAACAGCATCAAAAGTACAGATTCAAAAGCCTTTAAAATCAAACCACCCACAAAAAAAAGAACCCTAAACCTAAAAAAATTAGAAAAAAAAAGAGAAGGAAAAATTGAAGAGATATTCAAAGAATTCTGCTTTCACCTAGAAGGACAGGCTTCGCATCCACACAAAGCGAGGAGCTTCAGAATAGATGCCCCCTGAGAGAAAGAGAGAGAGAGAGAGAGAGAGAAACAGGAGAGAGAAAAGGAGAGAGAAAGAGGAACGGAGTCTGTTTAAAGAGACGGAGTGGCCTGTGAAACTTGATCGGGACCCGCGGTGTGGATGAGATTGACGGCGTTAGTTAACGGAGACCGTGAGTTATGACCGCGAGCGAGGCAGAGCAGAGGTCAAACGTGGCGTCTGAACAGTAGCAACAGACTAACACGGCAAATGTAATGTAATACACTAATACTCCTCCTAAGTTATAACACGTGTGGAAGAACAAACGTTGTCCCTTGTATCCACGCAATTACCATTTTGACCATACAAAATAATAAGATTTTGGTTAAATGTCCATTTTGGTCCCTCTAGTTTGGTAAAAAGCCCTTTTTAGTCTTTTTACTTAAAAAAACCCCTTTGTGGTCCCTAAAATTTGAAATTTGACCCATTTTTAGTCACTTCATTAAGTTTTGTATAAATGACACGTTAGATAAAGAAAATTTTAAAATAAAAAAACCAAAAAAAG